TGCATAAGCAAAATTGCACAAATTTTCACTTGAAAGAATAGTGAACAATCTTGGGATTTTTTTCTGTTAAAGTTTCAAATAGTGTGTAAATTGAATACAGACGCTCCCCAGGTAACGAACGAGATACGTTCCGAAGGATCGTTCGCTGGCTGAATTCGTACGTAAGTTTCTTCAGTGCTATATTTTGTATGGAATGTATGTTTAAGGCTTATATAAGTTTGTTTAAGGCTTATAAAAGTGTAATAAAATGAAGTTTAACATACTTTTGGAAGATGTACTCGAAGGCGTAAGGAGATGATCGAGGGGGAGAGAGTTCCGTCTCGAACTTCTTCATGGGGACAAGCGTTTCCTCCTCCTCCTCCTCCTCTCACAGCGCCTCAGGTCGGTATTAGCGGCAGAAAGAAGTACTACAGTACTCGGAAAAAGGCCCGCAGACAGTACTCGGAAAAAAGGCGCGCAATACAAAATCTGACTGACAGCATCTCTGTCCGAGAACATTTTTCGACATACCTGTACTCGCAAAAATCTTCGTATGTACTGTTGTTCGCAACACGAAAGTTCGTAGAGCGGGGAGCGCCTGTACACTTCATCTTCAGCATGTTTAGAGACACTTTTGTAAGTGGCCCCGCCCCCGGTCCCGGCCACGCCCCCATCCCAGCCACGCCCCTTCCGCTTTTTTCATCACTAGCCACTCACATCCCTGGCGCGTTTGCGCGCGCGCACGCGCGCGCGCGCACACACACACACACACACACACACACACACACACACACACACATCAGGAGTTTTCAAATGTTAAGTGACCTTCATTCCTGAATTGTCCATTCCTTCATTACCTTTGAAATGCAGAAATACTCCCAAATAATGTAATGAAATAACTGTTAATTATTCCCATCTATGGGCTATGAATGACTAAATCACGCCTACATAGGCAAATGCAATATGGCTGCCATTCGCAAGTTAATAACCAATTTTGAAGGACGCAAACATTAAATCGTTGAGTATGCAGCAAATTGGGTGAAAATTTTCTGACAGGTATCTCGTCCAATAATAGTCCTTCCAAGTATCTGACGGATTCTCACTTACCTTCGACTAAATATGCCATAATATGAAAATATGTCATCCCTTTCATCGGTCCGATAAACAAAGCTGGGCCGATGAAGAGCTGCTTGAAATATGCTAGCATTAGTCTAGTTACTGTCACAGCACTGGGCCCTCTGCTGCATGACATAGAACAGGGGTGCCCAACCTTTTTTTGACCAAAGATCTACTTTCCAATCAGCCAACCTCCTGTGATTGACCGCACATGTACGAATACCATACACCTACGCGCACGCACGCACACATGCATGAACAACAGCCAGAACGGCCCTGAAAATGAACGAAACAGAAAAATAAAGTAGATATAAGAGTTTGCGTGTTTGTGAAAAGGTAATCACTGCCGACCTTTGTTACGCTGTTGGCGGATCTTGGAAGAAGTTGAACCTGTGGCGACAAAGAGCAATATTTGTAATTTGCATTCCGGATGAGGAGAGAATCTGTAGTTTCCAGCGGTAACTCGCAAATGAGGAACATGGAAGGATTATTGTTAGTTTATTTTATTTCACTTGAGCATGTTGAATGCATATGTTGTTTTCAAAGTGAGACATTCATGGAAGGGAGCTTTCTTCTGGACTTTATGATGCCAGCTGCAGACAACTGGACCTCAAAGCTCCACATGGGGCAGGAAGTCCAAGATGTCCAGGCTTAGGGTGTTTTTGTGTGTGGGAAGAAATGACCCACTGATCCCCCACTGGTCACTCAATAAGCACAAACTTGAATATTTGTTCCAGACCGCAGTGATTGAAATGTTTTTTTTTTTCTTTTAAGACGCAACAACAAGATTTATAGTATTTGTTGAATACAAAAAAAAAGTTATCGGTATTGGTTTTTTGAGAAGCAGGAAGTAATCGGTTATTGGTATCGGTGGTTTAAAAAACAAACAAACAAAAAAACAGTTATGGTGCATCCCGACAAATGCACATAAATTCACGCACAACTCTGGAACAAACTCTTCACACCTCACACCCATCACAATCCAGCAGGGGACAAGCATTAGCGAGGCAGGAATTGACCATTTGACTCCTCGGCAAGCTGAGTGGCCACTCAATTGCATTTAACAGACTTTACAGCTCCGTTTTTTGTTGTTGTTTCTTAAATCATTTGCGTGCATGAAACACCTACTACAGTGAAACTCCTCTAGAACGAAACCTACATGGGCGAAAATACCCCCTAACGTGAAAAAAATCTTCATGCATTAACACCATTCCCATTCTCCTGCCCCCCATACGACGAAAAAAAACCCCTGTTGCGTTAGACGAAATCATTTTCTCTGCTCCTACCTCGCGAAGACATTCACTACAACGAAGTCTAATCCAACAGTGACCTCTACTGCTTCGTTCGGAAACGGCAACAGCAACCGCCCAACTCGGGAACAACCTACAAGCGGTGTTGGGCGTGCCTTCGGGCTACGAACAGCTCCCAGTCAACAGCCGGCAACTGGGTCTGCAGGTACCCGGGTCGCTGCGGCTTTCAGAGTCCCTTTGGGACCCAGTTGGAGGTTACTCAACAGCAACAGCAATAGCAACCACCACACTAGTTTACATAGTGAACAATGTTTATTTCGGTCACAGCTGGGAGTTTCCTGAACGCAACATACTCATAGCTGCTCTGCCATTGGCTTACCGAGCATCATCCTGGCCTCCGATTGGCCAAGAGGGACCTCACTGTCTATGTGTGTAGATACTGTCGCTAAATCTGTGGAAGATCGAGTGGAATGCATCCGATTAGCTGCTCAGAGTAAATTGCTTATGGCTCGACGGACAGTCAAATAAACGAACGTTTCCTGGAATGCTTTGCTTGTTATCATGCTAAACACCTGACGCTAACTGGAGCGCTAATTAGAGAGAAGGCGAGTTCCATCGCGCTAACTATGGCCATCGAGGACTACGAAGCGTCCCGTGGCTGGCTTTAAAAGTTCATTGCATGACATCAGCTGAGCAACGCTGTCTTGGGTGGCGATCGAGGGGAGGTCGAGTTAGAGACAGTGAGATGGTGGAAAGAAAAGCCACCGGGTCCAGGAAGTATTTGTTATTCTTAGATTCAGACGTAGCATGAACATTGTATTGCTAAAATGGCTACGAAACGGACCCTTGGATGTCAAGCAGCTAAGACAAGAAGAGCTCTGATGCTGGAAGAGAGGGTAAAAGTGATCAAAATGAAAGACGGAGGAAGCAAAATAGAAGACATTGTCCAAGAAATTGATGTAAGTGAAAGTGAATGCTGATCGT